ACTCTGAAGGACCTCGCCCAAAGACGAACATCGTGCCCTGGCCCGGTCAGCCTCCTCGGGGTTTCAACATGATTGTGAACCTGTTCTCAGGACGTCTGGTTAGGGCTCAATTCTTGGAATTACCTTTGAATGCCGTGGTTGCCTGGATCCTGGAGTTGGCCCTGGAAATGCACCTGGTGGGCTACCCGTCGTCCATCATCTTTGCTGCTGTATATGCTTGTCCCTGGTCCGTTGCCATCTAAAGGGTTCGAGCGATCTTATGATTGCGGCGGTCTTCACAAGTGACGGACATTGCCATGGGCAAAGAAGGCCGCCGCCCAACGTCGTGGAACTACCGTTGTGGTGAGCATGATGAGAAGTGGCGGTCGTACGACGGGTGGTACTACTCTCGTGATCGGGATCGCGACCGCGACCGTGACCGTGACCGACGAGCCGATAGCAGGCACCGTGGAGTCCGAGATCGCCGTCCAGATCGAGAGCGCCGTGTGCCTTCACGTGATGGCCGTGATCGTACGCGTGACGACCGTGCTCATGATGATCGTGACAATCGTGACAGGCGCCATCGATCCCGTTCTCAGGACACGGCCTCGACATCAACAGACATTGTGAAGCTACGTGGGTCCTTGGCCAAGGCCGACCCCGAGTACCAGGCGTTCATGAAAGATAAAGCAGATCGGATGGAAGAACTTCGCCTCCGAAAACAAGGGGAGTACTTGGCCCAGGCGATGAAGAGCTCGTTCGGAGATGAAATCGAGAAGCTGCTCGACGAAAAGGAGAAGAGCTCCCCTAAGGCTGGGTCTGCAGGTGGCTCACAAGCTGGGCGTGAGGTGTCGCCTGCGCCAGTAGCCGAGGCGCCGGATTCTTCATCGGTTCTTCGTCATGCTGAACATGGGTGGCTGCAGTCGATCCTGGGCAAGAAGAAGACGCCACCCAAGAAGGCTACGTGGGCTGAGGCGGCGAAGATCGCGGAGGCCCAGATGAGCACGGACAATGTTGTCACCGCGAATGTGAACAAATGCATCCAGTCTCACTGCCCCCGCAAGGCTGCGCCGAAGAAGAGGGCCAAGGCGGTGGCGATGGTGTTATCGATCATTGACGGCACTGGACTATGATCAGATATGGACGAAGATACTGATTCCAGTTCTGGATGTGATATTGTTCTCCGACCTCAGTGCACACGGTCGAGCTCGTCTCCTGTTTGTTCCGCTTCTTGTTCTATGGGATTGACATCGTTCCGACTTATCCTTGGAAGTCGGTTGGTTGGCGCTTGTGTTCCTATCCTCTTCTACCTCTTCTTTCTGTGGAGGACTGGCGATACGTGCAAGTACTGAAGGCCTACGTGACCCTCCACTGGTCGCATACAAGAGAGACGTGGCACCTTCAAGAGCTGATGGCTACGTTGCAGCTCCCCTTCACGTTTGCCAACGCTGATGAGCAGTTGGCAGTGCGCACGATGATCTCATGCATGCTTGGCGCGGCCATTCCTGCGGCGGCAAGGCGCCTAACCGGTGCGCCGATATCAGTGAGACCCCCTGCCCCGCACCCCAGAGCCCGACCAGGTAAGAGGAGACGGTTACCTCTGAATGATACTGTTGAGGATTTTAGCTTGATCCAGGCCCCTCAGAGATGACCTGATGGTATCCTCTCCCACCTCGGCTCCACTTATTATTCACATCCCCCATCTCCTCCCCTATCTGCTCTCATCATCCCTCGAGTCCCAGGTTTAGTCAGGGTGAGGGGGGCCTGTGCTGTAATAGTGGCCGACCAGGATCCTCCTCCACGTCTTGTGCACTCTTTGTTGCTCCTAGGCCTGGTTCCCGAGGTTTTGCCTGCCAGTGCTCCGCGGCCCAGGCTCAGGCTGCCCAGAGCTCCCGCGGGCGCAGCACCGCCTAGCAGTGTGGCGGGGAGCGTTTTGGGGCTCCCCCCTCCTCCCCCCTTCACTTTTCCTTTATTACTATCTTACCCGTGTCCCCTCACCCCCACCTCCGCGGCGCGCATCCCACCGGGAACGACGCCGCCAACCCGATCTCCGAGCAGAGGACAGGCGGCCTACTCTACTGTCGCGCGTTGGGCCCTCTCTCTCTCTCTCTCTTTCTCTCTCTCTCTCTCTTTCTCTCTCTCTTTCTCTCTCTCTCTTTCTCTCTCTCTTTTTCTCTCTCTCTCTCTCTCTCTCTCTCTTTCTTTCTTTATTTCTCTCTTTCTTTCTTTCTTTCTTTCTTTCTTTCTTTCTTTCTCTCTCTCTCTCTCTCTCTCTCTCTCTCTCTCTCTCCCTCTCCCCCCGAGAGTTCATTAAGTCGCCCCCTTCATCTTCATCTTCTCTTTTCTCGTGATTCCCGAATGCCTGCTGTTCTCGCCGCCGCCGTTTTGTCTCAGGCGATTTCGATTCGGGTCGAGCCCGAGGTGCGCTCGCAGCTCGGCCCGCGGCACCTCCCCGCTAGTGCGGGGATCGAGTTTCGCCGCGGCATCACGATATCTACGTGGGGTGGTTCGCAAACAGGGACTCTCTCTCTCTCTCTCTCCCTCTCTCTCTCTCTTTGTCTCTCTCTCTCTCTCTCTCTTTTTTTTTGTTTCTCTCTCTCTCTCTCTCTCCTCTCCCTCTCCCTTTCTCTCTCTCTCTTTCTTCTCTCTCTCTCTCTCTTTTCTCTCTCTCTCTCTCTCCCTCCCTCCCTCCCTCCCTCCCTCCCCCTCTCTCTGTCTCTCTCTCTCTCTCTCTCTCTCTCTCTTCCCTCCTCTCTCTGAACTGGCGGGCCTGGACGGCGCTGCTTGCTCCTTAGAGCTTTAGAGGGCCAGACCTTGTAGAAAGTTTGACGAGCGTGGAAACCCACCTCGTTTCGTGCGTTTCTGGCGCATCACATTGGTTTGGCTTGGCACTGCATTTAGTGTTGCAGGGGGGCTGTCTGCACATTGGAGGGAGCGCAGAGAGACATGACTGTCGCCATCCTGGCTCAAGATGGAAATGCCTCTTTGTTATCGGTCTCGCTGCCACGCCGAGAAGGGCACCCCTCCCCCCCATTTATGCCCCCCCGCGAATTAGCGCCCAGTCAATGCAAACGGGGGTCAGTCAGAGCGCTGGATCTTTCAGGACCCGGCGGAGCCAGGGTTGCTTTGACCTGGGCTCCTGGATCTTGCAGGATCCTGCGAAGCCCGACTGGCTTGGGACCGGATTGACTCGGGCCAATAGAAGCCCGAAACACCTTTGCGCGCCGCCGCGCGCCGCTGCGCGCAGAGATGCACGGGCCGCAGCCGAGCGGCGCCCTGGCCAGCGCCCAGCCGCGCGAGACCGTTATCAGAGGAGGAAAAGGTACCCATGCCGCTATCAGAGGCGTTCTTTTTGTCCTCCCCCACTTTCAATGTTTATCAAGTTGCGGGTGGACAGGACAACGCGATGTCCGCCTGGGCCCCCGTCGGACGAGCGCTCGCGGTCGCGCGTGGCCCGCCGCAAGTAATATCGCGGATGCGCGGGCGTCGCTGCGACGGCGTTGGCGACGGCGACGACGTGGGCGTTTGCGCCGACGGCGACGACGACGGTGGCAACTGCGACGGCGACGGCGGCGACGACGAACCACGCGGCGACGGTGGCGACGGGGTGCAGGCCCGCGAGCGAACGCGCGGCCCGCCCTCGCTTCTGCAGCCCCGTGCCAGATTTTATGGGAGGGGCGAAATTTACGCGCGCAGTTTTACCCCAGCCGTTCCCCCGCTTTACTAAAGCTCCCTTTTCGCTTTAGTCTAACGTCGCTTGTTCGGAATATATCAAGCGACGCGCCTTCACTAAAGCCGTGCCCGCGCTTTAGTAAGGCCGTTTCCTCACTTCAGTGAAGCCGCTTCCCCGCTTTAGTACAGCCGCTTCTTCGTTTTATTAAAGTCCGTGGGCTGCCTTAATGAAATTTCGGGGATGCGGTGGCGAAGCGGGAGCAAGGCCCGGTCGGGGGGCGGGGGGGCCCTGTCTTTCCTGCCAGATCACCCCGCGATGCATTTGCTCGAGCACGCAGGGTCGCGTTGCATCGGGTCGCGGTGACTCATGGACATGTTTTCAGCGAGTTGCAGGTGGTCCTTGACAAAGATTCAGAGCGCGAGCGCAGGACGTGACTCGGTAATTCGGACGCGCCGCCGCATTCATCGCGCAAACGAGCAACACCACTTTACAAAAAGGCTGGTTTCTTTTCGCAAATCGCTCGGTCAAAGTAGTTGTGTGTTTCTTGCGCTTCTGACGCTACCTTCCTCTCGTGATCCTTTTTTTCGGGCCTCCTGGGATGCCCTCGTCGCCACCGCTGGATTCGCTTCGACATCCTGGCCAAAACGCACCCCGAGAGAGGTCCGCGGAGTAGCAGTACTGGTACCTTTTAATTTTCCCCAGGTTGCCCAACCCGCGTTGGCCACGGCAGGTCCCGAGCCAGGATGGCTCAAACTGATTGGGGCGGCGGGTATGGAAGAATGAAGCCCGCACTGGTTGAGCAGCCAGCAGTTTCGAATTCGTTTGCTCCATGCGTACAGTCAACGCGCATCGTAAAAAAAGGAAAAAATCATTCGTTGTTTTTTTCTAAGGTGTCTTTGCCTCTGCGGCCCCGTCCTTTGCCGTTTCCACCAGGGTTTGTGGGGGCCGCCCGCCGCCCAAAACGAATCCCAATTTCGGCCTCCAGGGGTTTCGCGGCTTTGCCACCCGTCGTCATTACACGTTTTCGCTGTGTCTCGCTCGTCCCTCCCTCCCTCCCCCTTCTTGCCTCCCGTTTCACATCCCTCCGTCCCTCCCACGGGGCCTCTCGGATCGACTGGCGCCGTGACGCTGCGGCACTAGAGCCCCGCGACACGTGGTGAGCTACCCCCCACCCACTCATGAGTGGGAGGTGTCGCTAAGGGGCCGTGCCCTCGGCCTCACCCAATGCTTACGCCATCCACCACCACCACCACCACCACCACCACCACCACCACCACCACCACCACCACCCCGCCTTCTGTCCGCCCTTGGGGACCGCGGCCTCCCAGCGCGGGCCCGCGGGCCCGAGGCGGTCTATTGGGCACCGACGAGCTCGAGGAGGAGTCCTTCGACATCAGCAACCGTGGCATGGAGGCGCGCGCGGGCCGCGTGGCCAGCGTCGACGGCGACGACGTCGACGCCGCCGTCGTCTCCCAGGTTGCTGGGCACTTCTCGCGGTGACGACGTCGACGACGAAGGCGTCGTTGTCGTCGTCGTTGACGTCGTCGGTGTCGTCGTCATCGTTGTCATCGTCGTCATTATCGCCGTCATTGTGAGAGATGTTTGGGCGTCTGGGCGGTTTTGGCGGTGTTTCGCCGCCGCGTCTCGAACAGGATTCGCTGAAGCCCCGAGCGACCCCGCCGACGGCGACGCCGTTCGACGCCGGCCGTCGGCGCACGGCGTCGGCTCCTGGATGTTCTCGGGCAGTGCTGCCGGCGACGACGACGACGCCGACGACGACGAGGACCTTGATATTCGACACGAACGAAATGGGTACGGAGAGAATGGGTACCATGCCCATCAGCAGCTCCTGTTCATTTTGAACCGGACTCGCTGTCCGCGCCGCCGCGGCTGTGTCCGTTTTAGACAGAAGGTCGCCTGCCCAACAGCGGCCGCTGTTGGTTTGGAACAGCATTTGTTGTTGGGCATTATACCAATTTGTTCCGTACCCATTTCGGGCGTCCAAAGATACAGTCGGGCCGAGGTATAAGAGTGAGGTCGGTTCGGGGAGGGTACCCTAATGTTCTTTGTGCTTGTAAGTTGTGCTAGTGCGTCCACGCGTGCAGGCACGCGTGAAAGCGTCGCTGTCCGCGACTCAGCAGCACATCAGGGGCGCTTCCCGGCGACTGTCGAGGTCTGCTTCGCGCGATTTCCAGCGCCTTCGCGCGCGTCTTGGATGTTCTGTGTGTTTGGGCCGCCAGAGTGGCCTAGGTCCGACTGAATCGTGGCGTCGAATTTGTTCCACAACGGGCGATTCTGCCTTGCTTCGCACCCTGGGAGCCTCACGTATCGATCCGGCTCGAAGAGCGCATGATCAAAGAGGGGTCCAAGCCCGAGACATCCTCCAGAGCCGCTGGAACTCAGAGATTCGATGTACCGGCGGCGAGCCTGGGGCGGAACTGAGAAGGAGAAGGCCTTCTCAGAAGGCCCGGCAGTCTCTGGGCCTTCTGAGAAGCTTTGTAAGCCTTCCCCGAGGACGCCGAAAACGTCTTCGAAGGCGCGAGGCCTTCTGAGAAGTCCCTCCGCCTTCTGAGAAGGTCTTCTCCTTCTCACTTCCACCCCTCGCTCGCCGCCGACTTTAGCATCGCCCGAATTTGTCATCGTCCTGGCTTCCTCTTACCAGATCGCCCGCCGTTGCAGACATGGCGACGCCAGGACCTCCAGGCCGAGGCAGCCGGGGAGCGGTCCCACGGCCTCGCTGGCGGGCCTGCCAACGGAGAGCCTCCGCCGTGACCACGGCCGCGGCTTGCTGCCGGGCGCGGCTCGAATCGCGAGCCAGGACGGCCCCAGGAGCACCCCCGGCAATTTGGCAGAATTGCAACCCCTGACACTGTTCCAGGTTTACCCCACACAGACCCAGAGATCCGACGCTCCGACAAAAATCGGAGCGGTCGGTTCTTGACTGTGTTCGGCCTCGGGGAGTTCTCGCCGGGCCTCGGGAACGTCCAAAAACGAATTCGGAATAAAAAGCTGGCCCTAGGGAAGTGGTCCAGACCGCGGGTGCCCACGCATCGAACAGTTGGAGCGACCAGATGTCTGGGGGTGCGTGGTGTCGTCTGACGCTTCTGCACAGAAGGCCCCTCATACCTAGTAGTCGTGGGCCCTCCTGAGTCAGGTCCCCTCCCTCCCGACGGAGCAGGGGCCTCGGCATCGCTGGGACGTGCTGACTTTTGTTCTCGCCGAAGACCCTCGAGGAACCTCGTGGATCACCTTGCGAGAAGATGCGCGCACGAGATCGACGCACGCACGGGGAGCGATCGTCCGAGCGACGGCGTGGGGCACTTCTCCTGCCTATATCACCCGTGGCCGCACGCCCTCGCGGCGGCCGGGACGCGGCCCCGGCGGCCGCGCTCCTGGGCCTCCTCTCGAGGGCTTCTCGAGCAGCGGCGAGGCGTCCTGGCCTGCTTGCGGGCCCACCGAGGAGTCTTGGCCTCGCTCGGACGTGTGCATGTTTCCTTCGGCGAGGACCATCGAGGAGCATTCTTGATCATTTGGCGACAAAGCCACGCACGAAACCCCCCCAAAAAAAACACTGGGAATGGACGTCCGAGCGATGGCCAGGGAGTGTTCTGAGGACCGCGGGGAACGCGAGAAGGGAGATCCCGCGCCCGAGGAGGAAGCGAGAAGGGGCGGGCCTTCTCAGGAGGTGCGCAAGGCCTCCTGCCTTCTGATAAGCTGTCTAGGCCTTCCCCGAAAGCACAGAACTCTTCTAAGAAGGCGCGAGGGCTTCCGAGAAGTTCCGCCGTCCTCTGAGAAGGCCTTCTCCTTCCCACTTCCCCCCTCGCTCGCCGCCGACTGTAGGCCCACCAGAGAGTGCTCTGAGGACCTCTTGTGTGTTGCACGACGTGTTCTTCGAACAGCGCTGGCTGAGACCATCTTGCTTTCAAGCACCCGCCCTATGTTTTAAGGAAGGACATTGCTTTTACTCGTTGTTCTGTAAAAGAGCACGTCGTGCTAGGCCTACAGAAATGCCGGGGCGGGGGGTCCCTGCTCGATCTTCCGTTCCGTGGCCGCTGGCCTTGGCGCAGCTCGAAGATTTTGGGTCCCGATGGGCGCTAGCAGCTGCCCGTGCCCGAGGGCACCAATCTGCAACACCGATCTTGGCCAGGCCGATCCTGGGCCCAGGATCGGTGCACAGGTCGGATGGGGTGGGGACGAGGATAAGTCCGTTCCCGAGCGTTCCGGACCGCTCTCAGAGCAGTCCAGAGCGCTCTGAGAAGGCCGCGGCGCCCGAGGCATCCTCCAAGGCCCCCGGATCTCAGAGATTCTACAGGCTGGCGCCACATGCGCCGACCTGCCAAGGCCAGGGCCCAGACCCCCTTTCCTCGTGGCCAAAACCACGACGGGAGGTGTCTTATAAATGTTCGGGCTACGCGGGTGCGCGGGGCCCCAGGACGGTCAAAGAGCGGCTCAGGGACGAAAAAGCGATCCCCGGGGAGGGGTCGGGGCCTCCGGGGGAGCCGCGTCGCGAAGAAGTGGTATCGCGGGGCGTCAGGGTGTAAGCATGCCACCCTGCCCAGGCCTGGAGGGCATGCACGCCGACCCTTGGCCCAGGATGTGCCCGGCCAGGATCGGTGCAGGTGCACCCACCAGTCATTGAAAGTACCGTCAGGCTGCCTGCGGCAAGTCCCGCCACCGTGCCAACTCAGCATTCTGGGTGGCGACTGTTCGAGGGGGCACGGGAGACCGTCACGTCTGACACCCCGTGTCTTCAGGATTGGGAGAGACGTGATGATGAGAACGATGATACGAGAACGTTGTTGCTGATGATTTTGATATGTTTGTGAATATGCAATGATGGTGGTGATGGCCCTTGTGGTGGTGAATATGATGATGATGATGATGATGATGATGATGATGATGATGATGATGATGATAATGCTGATGATGATACTAATGATGATGGTGATGCTGATGCTGATGATGCTGATGCTGATGCTGATGCTGATGCTGATGATGATGATGATGCTGATGCAGATGATGATCTCGATGATGAGGGAGAGGACGAGGAGGACGACGATGCCGATGCCGGTGATGACGACGATGTTGTTGATGTTGATTGTGATGATGATAATGGTAGTGATGATGATGATGATGATGCTGATGCTGGTGCTGCTGATGATGATGATGACGACGATGGTGACGATGGTGATGATGATGGAGTATGATGATTCTGTCGTTGTTGATACTGATGAAAATGATGGTGCTGATGCAGGTGTTGCGCGCGACGATATTAATGATGATGGCGATTGTGACGCTGAGGATGATGGTAATGGTGATGCTGACGATTATAATGATGATGATGCTGATGCAACTGCTGTTGCTGATGATGATGCTGCTGCTGATAATGATGATGCTGATCATTAACAGTATCATTAGCAGTATCGTTATCATTATGATGAGGAGGATGGTGATGATTGATGATGATGATGATGATGATGATGATGATGATGATGATGATGAGGAGGAGGAGGAGGATGAGGATGAGGATGAGGATGAGGATGATGATGATGATGATGATGATGATGATGTTGATGATGATGATGATGCTGAATATTGTGATGATTGTAGTTGCGACGACGAGGATGATGATGAGGTGGATGATGATGACGATGATAACGATGACGATGATGAGGAGGAGCAGGACATGGAGGAGAACGAAGAAGGCCTGTTGATATGACACAATCTGTCTTTACTATATGAGGGGCTCTCATGGAACTCGTTTGGGCCGTCTTGGGACCGAATTGGCCTCCTGTGAAACAGTCCTGGGGGTGTCTTGGGGCCTTCCTGGGCCGTCTTGGGGTCCTCTTTGCCGTATGGTGCCCATCTTGGCGCCGTCTTGGGCAGTCAAAGGGCCTTTAAGGCCGTCTTGGTTCCCACGGGAGGCCCTCTTGGGCCGTCTTGGGGTCGTCTTGCATGCCTCTTGGGTCCTTATGGCGTCCTCTTGGGCCATCCTTGTACCCTCGTGGGGGCCTCTTGGGCTGTCTTGGGGTCATCGTGGAGGCCTCTTGGACCGTCTCGAGCTGACGGAAGCCCGAACAGGTGAGAATGCGAACCGTATTCAAAATCCAAGCGGCATCACGAAATCGCTAATGTTGGCTTCTTCGGGCCCAGTTTGAGGTTCTCGTATGGCCCCTTTTGGGCTTTCTTGGGGGCATCTTGTGCCGTCTTGAGACCAGAAAGCGGCCCCCTTGGAGCCATCTTGGCCCGTCTTCAAGACATATTGTGTCTTTGGTTGCCTGCATGGGCCGCCTTGGAAGCTCGGGACGCGGATCCATAGTTTTTAAACGGGTGACCGTGGCCTCGGGAACACAAATCCATTGTTTTTACGAGGGATCGTAACTTCAGGAGGAGGGGGATGCATGGACAAGTCT